GCGGTATCGTACTATTTTTGTGTGCGGTATTGGGTTATGCATTTTGTGCGGTATTGGGTCATGTTTGTGCGGTAATGGAAAGCGCCGCTTTATTAATATCTTTTTTTTTCTAAATTCGAATTTTAAATCGACGAACCGGAAATCCTCGGAATTCCTTGAAAAATTAAAATCCTGCACTTTTCCTGCCGTATCCCCAAAATCCCCGGAAAAAGGAAAAATCCTTGAATCTGGCATCACTGGTTGCCGGTCGTGTAATCAGCGTAGATTACGCCGTCGACTGATACACGCGGTTGCAGGCGTAGCATAGAATAATATAGAAGCGACACTCGCCCCTCCACTTTAATTGTTTTTATTTCGTGGCGGACTGATTGATGTTGTAAGCTTGGCGGTAAGGCATGATGTTAGGATCGCTTTTATCGCCGAAACAGAACGCTCGAGACCAGAACGCCAAAGTTTAAAAAAAAGGTCACTTCATAGTATCTTAGATTAAATAAAAATATAATATATATTTTATAGTACATAAGTACATAACTATATAATAATAATGTTAAAATGACTATGTATATTGTTTTATGATACTACCATACATATTATATAAACATATTTATAGAAAGCCATATTCGAGGCAAAAAAAAAAAAAAAAAAACCATAAATACATTAAGAAAAAAGTAGTTTTTATGCAAAACCAGATTTCAACAAAAATCGGTTTTTTATCTAGTTCCCTGATATTTTTTTCTTCTAAGGGAGGCACTCAAAATCGTTTGCCAGGAACGCCAAAGTAGTGCCTGTCTTTTTATGTTTATGGGTCACACTATTAACTAAAAAATGTAATGGTTTGTTTTGTCAACATTGCGGATTTCCGCTGCGGTTTCGATGACACACGTTTTGTACTCTGATCTGAACGGTTGTCTTTTACGCCTTTTGATTATATACACGTGTGTTTTTGCAATTTTTTCTAAACTTGTTTTTTTTTTTTGTAATTTTACAAAATGCCCAACGTTTGTGCTATTTGCAAAAAGAAGGAAGGACAACACCAGGTGACTTTTCATCGTTTTCCTAAAGATGAAAACCTATAAGTATATTTAAATTAGTTTAACTGCAGGCTGGAGTAGTGCTTGTTTTTTTTTTCCAAAATATTTGTTATTTTCTGTTTCCCTTTTCATTAGTCTTTTTTTTATAAATATCAATAAAATTTTATTTGTTGGGTAAAAAAAGTGAAAATTTAATGCAAGACTCCTGATATATTGTTACAATAGCAGTTAAAATATTAAAAATGAGTGAGCACAATTTTTTTTAAAGATCGTATTTTGAAAAAAATTATCAAATTTAAAATTTAATAATTATTTTGTAGTTAAAAAATTATAAAATGTTTAACTTTTATAGCTAAGGATTGAAAATTTAAAACAAGGTTCCACGTAATTTAGTAATTAGGTTATAGATAAATCACTTTATTCATAATAATATCATCAAATATACTTAGTAATATCATTATATCATAGACTGACTGACCGTGTGAGTGAAACGATGAATGTATTTTTTTATGTATTTTATGTTTTTTACAATGATGTGTGTTTTTTTTTTTTTTTTGTGTGTCTGTCATCACGTATTAGGACAGTAAAAGTGCTTGGATTTTCTTCAACAGTATCTTTTCTGATAGGAAAATGAATCTAGTTGGTACTTTAGGGGGTCAAAAGTAAAAATTTCCTAGTAGTTTTCAAAAGTGCCTCGAAAAACAAAAGAAAAATTAAGGAAAAACGGGAATTTTTACGCAAAATCTGTTTTCGAGAAAATCGATTTTGGTTTTTGGTGTAACTTTAAAACAAATGACCGTAGACACATGCAATTTTCACTGGTTGTTTATATTTGCATTTTCTATACACGATAACATTTTCAAAATATTTTGATTTATTTTGAACTGTTTAGGGACATTTTTAATTTTCAATTTTATTAGTTTTTTTTTTTTATGAATATCAATAAAAATTTATTTGTGGAGTAAAAATACTTGAAAATTTAATACAAGGCTCCTACTATATTAAAAATCCTTAGTCACAGTTTTTTTTTATATGCATTTAAAGTCATTTAAAATCACGAAAATTAGCTAATTATTTTGAGTTAAGAATTCGTAAAAATTTTTCTTTTAAATCTAAGGTTTTAAAATGTAATACAAGATTCCTTAAAAGATTATCAGCCTTTATCAAAAAAAAAATGTCTATAAGAAAGTCAAATTAAATTTTTATGAGCGTTTGAAATTCAAATTTTTACAACATTGGGTATTCACTCGATTTCTCATATAGCGATTTCTTTATTTTGTTGTAATTCAAAAACGAATAATAGTAAATGCATGAAAATTTCACTGAATGTTTATATTAGCATTTCCTATACTCCATACAATTTTGAAAATATTTCGACTCTTTTTGACCAGTTTACGGACATTTTCAGTTTTAAATTTTTTTAGTTTTTTTTCTATAAATATCAATAAAGTTTTATCTGTTGGGCCAAAAGTGTAAACATTTAATACATGGCTCCTGATATATTTTTACAATATCAGTTGAAAAATATTAAAAATACATAGGCACAATTTTTTTTTATAAGCATTTAAATATCAAATTTTGACAACATTTATCAAAATCTTGAAAATTATCAATCATTGTAATTAATAAATTATAAAATGTTCAGTTTTTATAGGTAAGGATTGCAAATTTAAAACAAAGATTCTCATAAATAGTTCCTATATAGTTTTTTTTATACAATGATATTATATCATTGAATTCAAATTCAATACCATCCATTATACAGTGACCCACTAATAACCTACAGTACAGCAGAGCACCTTTTTTTTTATACAATGATATTATATCATTGAATTAAAATTTAATACCATCAATTTAAGTGACCCACTTGTAACCTACTGTATCTTTCAATATTGACAATGTTTTAAAAACCTTTTGAATTCAGTGTGTTAAACACATTATGGAAAAAAATCAATAGAACAACAATCATGGAAGCATGCCCACTTGCTCTAGTTATTCTTATTATACCATATATTATGTTATTTTATTTCTAATTAAAATGTTTTAAAATTTAGGTGTAATATTTGGATTCAAAATATTGGTTTGAATGATAAGCTCAGACTTTCTCAAAAAAGAATCTGCTCTGAACATTTTGATTCTGCTTCTTAATTACCTAATACAAATAGATTAAAATTAAATGCGGCTGCAAAAATGGGTAATTCTGTTGAAATAAACAGTAAATTGATTGAGGTACCAAAATGTGCTACTCCTCAGCCTTTTGTACATATATCTGATGATCCTGATATTACAAACAGTAAGAGTAAATGTTAAGATATTACAATTTTCAAGACATGTGTTTAATTAAGTTTTTGATTTTAGATTCATTTTTATGCCCGATTGAATTATTTCCTAGAACACCAGAATCATTACTTGGGTGTTCAAAAAACTGTTCAACATCAGATATTTCATCAAGGCCTTCATCAAGTTGCTCAACACCTTGTTCAGGTATGTTATAATATCACTTATATATATCGCTTAATTTCAAAAACTATGTATTAGCTATAAACTAGCTATTGAAATTAAAATTGTAACCAACAAAAAATATTTTATTACAGATTCTGAAACTCAAACTGGATTAGGCTTATCCAAAAACACACCTAGAAAAATCAAATTAAAGGAAAGATTATGTTACACGGAAATGCAATTGAAATCTGCTTTAAAAGAATGTGAAAACCTCAAAACTATTAATATAAATCTAAAAGACAAATTAGATGGACCAGTGACATTAACAGACTTCTACAATATGTGTGACACATTCTTTGCTGGTAAGCCAACAATGTGTAATTTTATTAAAATCAAGCTCGATTGTGTACAGCAAAAGCAAAAGGTAGAAGGTATACATCAGAAGACAAACAGTTTGCTTTAATGGTTCATTTTTATGGTGCAAAGGTTTATCGATTTCTTATAAAAGGATGGTGTTTACCAAGTATAAGAACCTTGCAGAGGACTACAGAACATTGGGAAATTGGAGTTGGACTCAGTGATTTTGTTTTTAAAGTACTTTCCTTAAAAGCACAATCAATGACTAAAAAAGGTAGAGATTGTGTGTTATGTGTTGATGAAATGTTATTAAAAGCTTTTCTCTACTATAATTATGCCAAAGATGAAGTGATTGGATTCCATGATGTAGAGACACATAAAACCACTGATGTTGCTAAATCTGTAATGGTTTTAATGATGAGGGGTATACATGATTCGTGGAAACAGCCAATTGGATACTATTTTGTTGGTTCAACTTGCACTGGTTTTTCATTAAAAAACATAATTTATAAATGTATTTTGAAGTTGACTAGTATTTCATTTAATGTTCGATTGATGATATCCGATATGGGTTCTAATTTTAAATCATTTGCTGACAGTGTGGGTGTAACACCAGAAAACCCTTATTTCAAAGTTGGAACCCAAGAAATTATTTACATGTTTGACCCTCCTCATTTACTAAAATCAACCAGAAATAACTTTTTTAGTTATAGATTAGTTTCTGAAGACAAAATTATTGAGAGCAAACATTTAAAACAATTTTATAATTCTGATGCACAACGAACTCATCGCCTAGCTCCTAAATTGACAGAAAAACATATGAATCCTGGTCCATTTCAAAAAATGAAAGTGAAATTTGCATCTCAAGTTTTCAGTAAGACTGTTGTGTGTGCAATGACAACATGCATGGCAGATGGATCACTTCAAAGTACAGCTGCTGTACAATAGAATTTATAGATGAAATGGATAACTTATTTGATATATTTAATTCTCGAACAAAAATAAAGCCACAAGGGTCAGACATTGAATCTGATGATGAATCAGAACCTAAGGGAGCAAAACGCTTTTGCATGCCCTTTAAAAATGCTGAATATCAAAAAAATTTAATACGTCAACAATGCAATTTGACCACATTAAAAAAGTTACAACATTAAATTTTTAACAGGTTGGATGGTTTCAATAGCAGGATTAATAAGATTACAAGATACATTATCAAAAGAATATGGTGAAGAGATTGAAATAATGACAAGTCGGTTAAATCAAGATTGTTTGGAAAATTTATTTGGATCTATGCGTAATCAGAATGGTAACTGTATAAACCCCACAACTATCCAGCTACAGCGTAATTACAAAAAATTATTTTCCTTAAACTATTTTGAATATAATGAAGGTGCTAATTGTTTGGATGATTTAGACCAAGTATTGACTACCCTGAGCAAAATACCAGCAGAATATTTGAAAACAATATTCCCTGACAAGCAGAAAGTAATTCACATTAATCCATTACCCATTGATGCAACCCATTACAGGTCATTAGAATTACCAGAAAGAAATGCTTTTACATATATATGTGGTTATTTGATTATGAAATGTTTTAACATGCATTCTTGTGAAACATGTATAGGATATGGCAGATCTACCACAAAGTTATCTGATGAACTTTTTTTTACACACTTCAAAGCACATCAACACAGTTCTATATCAATGTTTTCATCGTTAATGACCCCAGATTGTAATTTTTACCAGTATATTTTTGAATGAGACACTATATTTACAAATCAATTTCCTACTTTAGCACCATTACCAAAAGTAGGGCAAAAACTAAAAACTTTAATGTTAAATGTGTACTTTGAACATCCCTGTGAACAATTCCCTCATGAATATTTGTTAAACTTATTTATAAGATTTAGAATTTATAATACGTTAACCAGAACCAATCGAAATTTGCAAATTCCTCGCACAAAAAATAGAAAATTGCAAATTTTATGTAATTTATAAATATTTTTATGTACATATTATTTTTTTATTTGATAATGTAGTTAATAATTTTGTATAAAACATGGTCTATAAATAAAAGAATTTAAAAAGTAGTTATTAATTGGTTATTTTATGTTAAAATGTGTTGTTATATCATTTTATTATCTAGTTTGTATATTTTGTATTTAAGTAAATTGTAATTCTCTACCTTCAACCATAGAACATTAATGTTCTATGCTTTAACACAAGCATGTCTTATACCCTTATAGAAGGTAGATAATGCATTGTATATGTTAAATAATAAGTAGGTATACCTATACACCTATATACCTATACATTAATAAATTAATAGGTATCTGAAAAAACTATTAACAATATTATTAAATAAATATCTTAAAAAAATATACTATCTGTAATCCGTCCATCGATCATATTCATGTCGTAAAAGTGGTAAAACATTAAAAATTAAAAAAAATTGACGTAGTATTATTATAATTTATAAATTTTAATACTCTTATCGCACGATTATCAACAAGAATGATGTTGTAAGCTTGGCGGTAAGATAAGAAGTTACGAACAATTTCAAGGCCATGAAACATTCTAGACTCATTAACGTTGGCCGCCCGAGAGTGTCGCTTCTATATTATTCTATGGGCGTAGTGAACTCGTCGCGGTACCACTGATAAGCTGCTGCAATTGCGGGTCAGTGGCTTGATAGGCGGCCCACTGTTGCATTGTCGCGGGGTCGATGAAAACCCACCTTGTCGTGGTGACCCCGCCCGGCCGACAGATGGGTCGGTCGCTAAGAGGTTTTCAAAATCGGGTCCGTTTAAACTAGTTGTGACGGACCCCAGGCGTCGCGTGAGCTGTTACGTGGCGCCAAGTCGTGCTCTCGCGAGTGGCGAGCCTATACCTCGGGTCGGGAGCAACCCGCGATAAACCACCAGTCAGCTGCAGTGTCCTTTGACTGGCAGGAATCGTGGGTGTAACCTGACCTCAGGGTCTGAGGGCCGTCGCGGACCAGAGTACAGGCGACAACCCTTAGCTGGGGGATCGCCCGGGGACCTTAGCCAGTTCTCGGGTGGTCAAGCCCGGCCGTGGACTTAGCCGTTTGCGGTCGGGAGAACTTCCGGAGGTTGGCAACTCCGGTCGTAGGCGCCAGGCACCGGCATGGACACACCTCGACCAGGCGGACTTGTGGATGCAACATACGCTTAGCCCGACGTATGCCAGAGGGATCAGGGCTTACCTGGCGGTAGGTCAAAAACGTAGGGAAGGACACCCGCAAACCATTATGATGGAAGTGATTAAAACTGATAGTACCCCAAGTGATAATCCGGCTAGTCCGGCAAATTCACCTCCTGCGGGAGCATTGGCCCATGGATTTTGGGGGGGCCAAATCGGGTGTGGTACAATCGGCCGACAGACATTTGGCTGACACGCAATAGGCCGACATACTAGTCAAGGTTTATTATTAATAGGTCAATGGCTCATTATATGAAACGTTTCAAATAGTTTGAATCATTAAAATTGTCAAAATTATTTCAGTGGAGATCTCATCAGCCAGTGCCCAGTTTTTTTTTCGTGCACTTCTTGACTTGTTTTTACAGTTTACATACTACATGTGTTTTTTAAAGTTTTCTACTTTTCTTTGCATATCCATATTCAATATTTTACCGTTTTTTTTTTTTTTAACTTAAAATCCAACTAAAAAATGGACGATTTGGATTTATATGAATTGTTGCCGGTCTTGAGGTCCTCGAACAAATTGAGGAAAATGCCAATGCTGCTCCTAGATACGAACATAGAGCAATACGTAGATCCATTTATAGGTAAGTTAGAAACTTTTTTGAACTGATTCAACACGATCTGGTTGAATCATACTTCCATAGGAATATATGATTGGTTGAATCATACTTCCATAGGAATATATGATACCTAGGTGAAAGATGACAGTATATTTCTCTAAAATGGTATCGTACAATCTATAGCAATAGGTACCTATATTGTGCGTGTACAATTTGAAAAAAAAAATAGTTTATCGTACATGTGTAAGTCAGGCTGAGCTAGCTCGTGTCTAATAAGCATGTAAGATATAATTTATACTTATTGCTGTAAATATCAATATCATGGTGAACATAATATGTATCCAAATTTTGTTACTCACCGCCAGCCCATAAAAAATAAATTGTGACGTAGGTACATAACTTTTCCAATTCCCACTACAACAACCATCACCTTAGACCAGTGTTTCCCAACCTTTTTACCACCACGGACCACTTCGACAATATTTTATAGGTGGCGGACCACCTCAATTTTACGCAAACTAGGAAGACCTTTTTTTTGCTCATTAACAAGAATACACAAAAATTTATTGAACATTTTTTATTATTTTACCATACTATTATTATTATATTATATTATTATATTATTAATTATTAAACTTTACTAATAGTTTACTTAGTGTGATTTTTGTGGCTGCATTTCTTTAACCAGTTTTTCAATTCTCGGATGAATGTTGCTAATGGCTAAACGCATGTCGTCACTTACGTCCAAGCGATTTCTCTGTTTATTTTTGATCACAAGTAGACTGGAAAATCCTTGTTCACACAAATACGTAGTTGAAAATACTACTAAATAACGTAAGGCAATTTCCCGTGGTTGAATATGTAATGTTGCCCTTCTGCACCAAAATTCTTCAAGGTTCATACCAGAATCAAACATATTTTTGCAGTCAGAGTCGTTTTGCAGTTCGATGACAGCTTCTTGAAGATATTCTGGGGCTTCTTCAACTTTTGCACAAAAAGGGTTTCGAATTATTTTTTGAACACTGTTAACTTCGTTCCATTCCGGAAAGTAGCGAATAAATTCAGATTTTAATTTTTCCAGATGTTTTTTTATGTTATGTTGAATTTCGATTAAAATATCAGCATATTGATCGTCGTTGATAAGAGTTTGGATTGTCTGAAATGCTGAATAATTATTATTCTCGATTTTATTCATCCATAGATTAATTTTGCATACAAATGCGCGAATTTTATCTTCAAAAATAAAAATATTTGCTCTAAATTCCAAGGTTTTGTGTCCCGAACCTTGAAGTTGCAAATTAAGGTTATTTAAGTGCTCAAAAATATCTACTAAATAAGCAAGTTGTAATTCAAATTTCAAATCACAAAATTTTTCAAGTAACTCTGAATCCTTCTCGTTTAAAAATATTTTCATTTCCTCTTTTAGTTCATACAACCGTTTTAGCATATTCCCTTTTGAAAGCCAGCGAACCTCTGTATGAAAAAGTAATGTGTCGTATTCGGAGTCCAATCCAACACAAAGTTTTTTGAAAATACGTGTGTTAAGTGCTTTGCTTTTTACAAAATTCACTAACTTTATTGCCAGTTTCAAAACATTAGCTAATTCTTCTGGTAATGTTTTTGTAGCTAACGCTTGCCGATGAATGACGCAGTGTGTCGTTAAAGTTGACGGATTTTTTTCTTTTACTAATGTTGCAAGACCTGAACGACATCCTAGCATAGCTGGAGCTCCGTCCGTACAAAAGCCAACTAGTTTCTCCCACTTGAGATCATGATTTTCAAAATAATTACTAATGATTTGCATTACATCGATCCCTTTCGACGTTGTCTCAAGTACACTTGACAGCAATAACTCTTCTTTTATGGTCTTATCATCAACGTCTAAAAACCGCACAAAAACTAATAACTGGCAACATTGCGCAATTTCAGTAGTTTCATCACATTGAAGAGCGAAGTAAGGGGAACTTTTTATTTTACCTAGTAGTTTGCTCTTCGATATCGCATGACATTTTTCCAATTCGTGCCTTTACTGTATTATTGGACAGTGGCATATTTTGAATCTTTTTCTTGGCATCTTCTCCGAAAATGTTTGCAGCTATTAGCAAGCTAGGCTTAATTGATGTTTCGCCGATACTGTGTGCTTTTTTTGACTTACTGATTAGTTGGGAGATTTCAAATGATGCAGTTAGCATTTGCTGTGACAATGCGACATTTTCCCCACTTGGTCCTAGTTTCATTTTCTTTAAGCTTTTACATTTTCCTTCAAAAAATTAGGGTGGTCGGCCTTTGAGCGTAGGATGAATCGTATGCAAATGCCGCTGCAGCTTCGCTGGTTTCAAAGCATCGTTACTAAGCACAACAGTACATATCACACATTGAGGTCTTATTTCTCGATTTACTTCAATTTCAGTGAATCCATATTTAATATAACTATCATCATATTTCCTCTTTCGTGACATATTCTTGACTAAGTCCGACTAGGTTTCAAAAAAATAACACTTAAAAAAACCAAACTATAAACTTTTAATTTCTTTCAAAACGTACTGCGTGGTAATCAAACGAATAACGAGCGCATACTGAATCAATATCCATAACAGTTATTTGTCGGTACTCATAAAGTATAAATATATAAGCAACGATGTTTGCAATTGACATGATCATTATCGTTCGCGATAATAGTATAATTTATTACTCTGATACCTACACACTTTAAAAGTGGAAAATACTTATCGGTCGTCGGCAGAAACAACGATTAGATAACCGTATATTACGGTAAAATAAAATATTTTTGGCTGTTTAAAAAAAAAAAAAAATTTTAATACAAAACTAAGAAAGGTGCCGCGGACCACCTATGACTGGCCCACGGACCACCGGTTGGGAAACACTGCCTTAGACAATTCAAAAGGTTTCACCTCAAATATCATATTCATCATGTTATTCATAAAATATATTATGTCATTACTGTAGGCATGAACCTAGTGAATATTATTTTATTTTCTTAGATTTGTCGGACCGTAATTTTATTAAACGGTATCGACTGTCCAAAGATTTGGCCAAGAGAGTTGTAACTCTGCTAACACCTTTTATGTACGCACCATCTACATCGAGAGGAATCAGTATTGAACGCAAAGTAAGGACCTATATCAAATTAATAACATTATAGAAATATTAGGTCTCGGAAGTAATAGAAACTAAAAAGGCGAAATATGCATTAAAAGTGAAATAAACATGCAAACAATAATTATTCAAAAACATATGTCGTTATTATTGTTTTAATGTGTACAAAAACAATAAATAACCATGTTAGATAATATTAAGTTTCATTTTCAATCATTAAAAATACATAGGTTAAGGAAGAAAAAAATTAACCTTCTATTGCTTATTTGTTTTGAAAATATTATGTATGAAAATCGATGATAATCAACAAAATATATACAATTTTCTCCTAAAATTAAGGAAATATGCATGCATTTAAATTTTTTAAGATCAACTTACGATTTCTTCCTTGGTCTGCTATAAATCGAGAGAATACAGAACAATATGCAACTCCTAAAACTTAAAAAAAAAGTATTGCCCTAATGTGTTTTATTTCAAAACATTTTGATGTGGCTTCACAATACTATAATTATTATTAAACTAACTAAAAAAATTAAATAAGTAAATATAATACATTAGAAGTACTTATATATAGTTAGACAAAAATAGTTACAATTATGATATTTTTATACTAATATATAAGTGACATATTAAATAAATTATACAAATATTTTACATATTATTGTAGGTTATTGTTGCTTTAAGATTTTTTGCTGCTGGAAGTTATCAGATGGATGTTGGTGAAAATCGACATGCATCTGTATCTCAGCCTTCAGTTAGCAGAATTATTGAAGAAGTGTCAAATGCGTTTTCTAATCCGGTTATATTTAATCAATTTGTTAATTTTCCAAGCAATTTCAATGAGCTTGATAGTGTGCGTACAAGGTATACCTCAAAATTCTTAGCTTAATATTTAAACTATTGATGTTTCATTGAAATAAATATTGATTTATTAGTTTCTTTTCCAAGTATGGCTTACAAGGAGTTGTTGGTGTTATTGATTGCACTCATATTGCTATAACACCACCAAAGAAAAATGATGAGTTATATCCAGAGCATATCTATGTCAATCGTAAGGGCTATCATTCAATTAACACTCAACTCGTTAGTATTATTAAAAATATAACATTAAATTCTTAATTCCTAATTAAATATTATTTGTATGAACTATAACTGTATTTTTTTTTAGATATGTGATGTAAATTTAAGAATTCTAAATGTGTCAGCCAGGTGGCCAGGTGGCCAGGTGGTCCACCCATGACTCTCACATATGGAATGAAAGTGGCGTGAAAACTTTCATGACGAGCTTGCATGATCGAGGTTTTAACTCATATTTTTTGTTAGGTAACAATGCACAACCTGCAATATTATTAAAATTTTTAATTTAACAATTCTTTTATGTTACCCGAAGGAGACTCTGGATATGTTCTACGACCATGGTTGTTAACACCATTTCTTAATGTTGAAATTAATACACCAGAATACCGGTTCAATCAGGTTTTTTGCCGTGCAAGGTCTACTATTGAACGCTGTAACGGAGTTTTAAAAATGCGTTTTCGGTAAGCTACAAAACCTATATAACCTATATACTCTCATTCACACCTTGCTTTTATAATTATTATAACCAAATATTTTGATTTAATTATTTGAAGCTGCCTTCTCAAAGATCGAACACTACATTATTCGCCTACCAAGGCTTCAAAAATAGTGTTGGCTTGTGTTGTGTTACACAATTTGTGTATTGTAGAAAACATTCCATTAATTGAAGAAGATGTTGAAGAGGATGATTTTGGAATGTACCAAGTAAATGACAATGAAGAAATTACACAAAATAGGCAAAATCCAGAACTTGTAGCCGGTCTTCGTTTCCGTCAAAATATTGTAAACAGACTATTTACAGATTAAGGTAACTACATGTTTGAGTTTTTATGAGATTAATATATGATTGTTTTATGTCAATATAACAGACTTATAACTAATTACAAAAGTATCTATAACTATAAGTATACTGTTTAAAGAAAGGAAAGTATTTATAGAAAAATTAGTTCTATTCTAGGAATATATTTATAAAGTAGAAACCTACCATACCCCATATAATATATACTATACATTTTTAAAGATTCTTTTACACTTCCTTTACTTTTATTTTAGTAACTAATTAATAATAATATAATTTTTATTTGTATTTACTTATAGATTTATTAATTTACAAAAAAACAATTAAATAAAAAATGTACCTATTACAACACAACAAAAAAAAAAAAAAAATAGAAAAAAGGATTCACAGAACATATTTTATTTATTTTCATCGGTTCCATTTAATAGTTTGGTAAGGGCATTGGCAATTTTTTCTTTGGCAATGACTGACCTCTCTTTTAATGTTTCCATATTTTGCATATGTTTTATTTTTGCTTCATAATAGTTTTTAAGCATTTCATTTCTCTCATTGCTTGCCTCTCCCAACACCCCTACTGAAGTTACCGTTCTAGTTAAACGTTCCTTTTTTGTTTCATATTTCTTTATACTAAAATAAGTAACAATTGATCTAGTTATTTTATTTTGTTATTAGAGTATATTAAATGTTGCTATAAGATATTTATTTATTTTTTTATTTTTTTTTTTTTTATATAAATAATAATATTATGTATAATTAATTAAATTGAATGGAATAGAAATGTGTTATGTACTTTTATAAGTGTGAATTAATTTATAAATCTTTTTTTTTATTGTAATTTATAATATTATATTATTGAAAATACTAGTGATATCAGTATGGAACACTTGCCTTTCACATGGTTCTTGGTTTTCATCCCTTAAAGAACGCTTAACACCTCGACTAGGTTCTGCCATTACTTGACTTGTATAAAAAAAAAACATTAAAATTTTTTTACATAAATTAGGTAATATTTAATGTAAATATTATACTTTGATGTATCCATGCACTGGGAGATTTTTGTATCTCAAATGTGTGGCATGAATCATTGCATACACTAAAAATTAAAAAGTTAAAAATGTTTGGAGCGTGTAAAATCAACATGTACTGTAGGTATTCTAATATTAAAATGTTTACTATATTAGAATTGAAATTAATTGTCATTTTACACATAAGTAACGTGATATCCTTCTCACATTATACTTTTACCTGTAATTATTTACTCTATTTATTAATATTAATGGAATATTAGTGACATTTTTATTGTTACCTATAGTATCTATTTTCACGTTTTAATTAAAAATGTTACCTTATTTTGTAAATAACTAATGTAATGAAAAATACTATATAGGAAGTCAAAGATAGTACATATTAAGTACAATTATTATTGTCCAGTTAAAACGTTGATATAACACATGTCTGTTGAATCCAATTTATTTACTATTGAAACTGGAAGTTGTTCATTAGCGTTTTTTATACTTGAATTTGGTACGTTTATCATTATTGGTTGGTTATGTTGTCTACAACATAGTATTTCATTAGTTAATTTAAGTAACTCTTTTATGTTAATACAATTAATAATTATATTAAATTACATGTTATCAGTATCAAAGTTGAAGCACACTTCATAATCCGCAATTGAAGGATCCCCAGAAATAGGCACTACACCCATCATGCGAACCATCGCTTCACTTAAATTATCAAGTGGCCTAGACGTTGATGGTCCACCTCCAGTACCTCTATAACTTTTATTCAGTTGTGCTTTTTTTTTTTTAACATCAGTCTTTAGATCTTGCCATGATGGTAAGAATATTGTCTGTATTTGTACGTTGGTTTTTTACAATGGTTAGACTTTTTTCGCAAGTTATGCATACATAATACATCGTAAATTAAAAATGTTCGTAACTCATTTAAAAACGGAATTATCATAAAAAACCAACGTACATACACAGATAATGTTCTTACCATCAAGTTTCATAATAGGTCGATTCACACTAATTTTTAAACTAACGGAGCTACAAGTTTTCTGCTAGCGTAAATTTGGTATGTTACGCACTGGTAAAACGGAGACAACAAATACCAGTGTTACGTCCTCTTAATTTGATGGTAATTTCCTTTGGAAGTTAAAATTAATTTTCTCCAAAATTATGTTTTTGAGTTTAAATTTTTAAAATACTAAAAAATTAAACTTTTGTGATATGTTAGTATTTATATGGTCAACATTTAAATTTTTGGTGAAAGCTAAATTTACCTATCATACTTAATTTTTATGTTAAAACTACCTAATAACTCCCGTAAAACAGAATTATAAAGTTATTTCAAACATTTTAATACTTAAGTAATTAGGGTAGGTATGCGTAAAAAACTTAAACTTCAAAAATCCATATTTTCGGAACTAAGTCCGACAGACAAATTATGTTTCCTCCATCGTTATTAACCCGTTGAAATACATAGGTTTCCAACAAAAAAAAATGTGTGGAGCAAAACTACATTTGTTTCAACAATTATAAATAGGTACAATTATATAATGTAAACTATTAAAACAAGTTTATAGTCAGTTATTAAATACCTACCTATTATTTATGTATTATAAGATAAGTGTAGAACTATTATAGGTATATGAAAAATAGATATTTTGAAATTATACCTAACTACCTAAGTATTTTAAATTTAAATTAAACAGTTTAATAGTTAATTTACACGGTGCCAAGACTTCCAGTCCTTTATAGGGCCCGGAATTGCATTTAATATGGCTGATAGTTCTTCCCACTGCTGCCTTGCTATGACTTGGGTAAAAGTTGACGAATGTTTCCCTTTTGACAATTCGTCATGACTTTTTAAAAAGTCAATCATTGCAGCCTTTTGGTCGTTTGTCACTGATTTACTTTTATTCCTTTTCTCGTTGGACATTTTATTTTAAAAATTATAAGGAACAATGAAAAAAAAAAAAACAATTTAAACAGTTTTATTCTGAGTACTTATATTTGTTTAATAATTACTAATACGCTAAATATATCAGCTGTTATAAATGCAACATAAATAGTATTATATTCCATGAAAAAAATGATATTTTGCGACGTTGCCGCTGTTCATCGTGTGAAAATCTATACGGATCATTTGGGAACGCGGATTCGTATACGAATATAAATGTTTTCAGAATACTAATTTCCGTTCGTATACGAAAGTGAATCGTGTGAATCGTTCGTATACGAATCTTATTCGTATGAGTTTGTGAATAGCCCCCCTGGTCGGGTGGACTTGCCGGCGGGATCGGGCGAGTGATGGGATGTGACGCACGTAAGTCGTGGTCCCTCGAGACGGCCGAAATCTCGCTGCTTTGGGACGCCTCCCACACTCGGTCAGCGCGTTCGGCGAGAAAATCGACGGAACCGGTGAGACCGGCGATGACGGTGCGGACGGGTGGCGGCAGCTTGCTCAGCCAGATCGCGAGCAGAGAGGTCTCCGTCATGCCGTGGGGTAGATCTCCCGCATGTCCCGGAGCAGGCGTGATGGGGCGCGATCGCCCATGCCGCCTGGCTGGATCATGCGCTGGAAGCGCGTTGCCTGAGGGACGCTGTATGCAGCGACGAGTCGCTGTCGGATTGACTCGTACGTCGCGTCCGATCCCAGCAAATCCGCGATCGTGCGGACACCATCCTCGTCCAGTGCTTCGAGCACGTGGTTCACGCGTGACAGATCCGAGCGGATTCGCTTGTTTGCGAACATGGCGTCCGCGTGCGTGAACCACTGCGTAGGAGAGTTGTGCCAGAACCCCGGAAGCCTGACGTGGGTGAAAGATGCAGCTTCCACGTAAGCACTCGGTGTGATCGTGGTCGCTGTCGTCGTGTTGGTGATTGTCGGATTGCCACCTGTCGCGGCGACAGTGGTGATGGGTTCGAGCATTTCGGATCTCGCTGATAAAAACGGGTGAAAAATAAACTCGACGTTGGTCGTACAAGTCGGGTCGAGAATTCGGTAATCGGTATTCGATCGACGCACTCGCGGGCGGGCGGAATCGAGTACCTCAGAACGTTACTGGGGTAATGGCGTTTCGTCGAACTCGGAGGTCACCAGTGTGGTAATACCGGGCGTTGCCACTGTCGTGGCCCGAAACGTGGTTCGGGTGCGCCAGATATTACTCGTGCTTGAAACCAGATCAGAAGGTATAAAGGTAGGTAGGTAAAATCAAAAGTAACAACTTCGACGTTCGATCGACGGCGTATAATTTTTAGACACAAAAAATAATTATAAAACAAAAATGACATACAACGGTAAACTTAGTTAAGTACAGAAAGGGTGAGTCGTCGGGACGTGTGGCTGCTCAAGTT